AGATTTTGTTTTTTTAAATTCTTTTTTCCTTTTTTTTTTTTTTTCAGTCCACCTGGGTTATTTCAAAAAGAATGTCTTCAATACCAGAAATTCTTTCTTCTGCTTGCCCTAGCTTGCTCCTTAACTTCTTGGTCGTGTTTTTTTTTACTTTGTTGAATCCTTCAGTTCTAGGAGTTCTGCTACATTCTTTTTTAATTTATTAATCTCTTTGTAAATCTCCTCCTTCATATCCCAGATATTTTTTCTCATTTCATTGTGTTGTCTAACTGAGTCTTCTTGTATCTCTTTGAGTTAGTCATTTCAAGTGTTTCATGCTCTATTGGGTCTGGCACTTAATAATTTTTGTATTCCTTTGATGGTGTCATATTTTCTTAGTTTTTTTGTTTTTGTTTTTATGTTTGCTTTTTCATATTTCTAGTATCCCTACATTGGTATCTGGTCATCTGGTAAAGTAGTTGCTTCTTCAATCACTGTAGAGTGAGCTTTGAGAAGAGAGTCTTCGTCTTGTAGATGTGTTTTATATTGACAGTTAAATAGGATAATGTAATATTAGTTCCAGGTAGAAGCAGTGGTATAGTCTCCACGTGATTCCTTCAGACATTTTCAGTGTTGGAGTTGCATGTGAGTGCCTCTGTGACCTAGGCACTTGAGAACATAGTGATTTCTTGCTAAGATTAGTAGCACTGTATTGGGTCATTGAGGATGGTATATTCTGTTTTTATATTATTATCCATTTTCTGTTATTATAACAGAAATACCTGAAACTGGGTAATTTATAAATAACAGAGGTTTATTTGGCTTACAATTCCGGGACAGCTGCATCTGGCATGGGCCTCAAGCTGCTTCTACTCATGGCAGCAAGCGGCAAGCAGCCAGCAGCAGGTACAAGCAGATCACATGGCAAGAGGAAGCAAGAGAGAGAGAGGGGAGGTGCCAGGGTCCTTTTAAACAACCAGCTCTCATGGGAGCTAATAGAGCAAGAACTCACTCATTAATCCCCCCACCCACGGAGAGAGCATTAATCAATTCGTGAGTGATCCACCCACATGACTCAATCAGTTTCCAACACTGCCACATTGGGGATCAGATTTCCACATGAGTTTTAGTGGGACAATACATCCAAACTCTATCACATGGGCAAGCTGTCAATTTCTTGAGAGAAGTACCTAGGTGCTCTGTCACTCTTTGTCTGGGATTGATGACTCTGGGCCAGGGCCAGCAAGTGTCCCCTGACCCTGATAGGTGCACTGGAGTATACTAGAACTCCTCAAATTGAAGGGTGACCCCCTTGTGTCAATGAAGTTGAGTGGGGCTGGCAAGGGGTCCTGCATATGGCTAGTGTGCCTAGTGTGGTGGGCAGGGTACCTGGTGTGGTAGCTGCATGGAGGGAGGGTCAGGATGCCTGGAGCAGCAGCTGCACAGGTGGGTCCTTTGATTGGCTAGGGAGCCTAGAGCAGAGGCTGTGGGGGGATGGGGGCTGTTGCAGCAATTATGTGGGAGGGCCCTAGTGCAGCTGGGGTGCCTGGAGCAGCAACTGCATGGGAGAGGGGCCTACATGCAGCTGGGGAGCCTGAAGCAGCAGCTGCACAGGGGGTGCCATGTATGGTTGGTTAGCTGGAACAGCAGCTCTGCAGGGGGCCCCACCCACAGCCAGGGAGCCTGGATCAGAGTTGCATGGGGGAGGGCACACTTGCAGCCCGGGAGCCTGGTACAATGGCTGCATGGAGGGCCCACACACAGCAGGAGTGCCTGTTGTGGCAGCTGCACAGGATGGGGGAACCTGCAATGCATGGGCAGCTGCTGGTGGCTTTGGTGGTGGTAGCATCCTGGGCCATGTTGCATGCAGCAGGGGGGTGTGGTTGCAGCAGCAGCAGTGGCCACGCTGCAGATGGCAGAGGTGAGGAGTGGATGAACCTCTCTGTGGGAAGGTGGGCAACAGTCCTGGGTTCAGATGATGGTGCCAGTGACTTTAGTGGTGGTAGCAGTGGGCCTGCTCTGGTCTTCTGCAGGAAGAACGTGCCCTGAGTATCTCTGGTTCACCATCATCCCACAATTCCTCATCCTGCAAGATTCTGCTGAGAAGTTCACTGATAGTATAATAAGGATTCCCTTATATGTTACTTGACACTTTTCTATTGCTACTTTTAAAATTCTGTCTTTGTCTTTGACTTTTGATAGTTTGATTATAATGTGCCTCAGTGAAGACCTCTTTGGGTTGAATCTGTTTGGGGACCTTTAAGCTTCATGGATCTGGATGTTCATATCTCTCCTAAGACATGGAAAATTTTCCACAATTATTTCATTAAGTAAACTTTCTCTTCCTTTCTGTGTGTCTTCTCCTGAAACTCCCATAATGTGAAACTTTATTCACTTAACAGTGTCCCATATGTCCTATAGGTTGTCTTTACTCTTTTTCATTTTTTTCTTTCTTTCCTTTTTCTCTGACTAGGTAATTTCAAAAGACTTCTCTTCAAGTACACAGATTCTTTCTTCTGCTTAGTCTAGTCTGCTGTTGAAGCTCTCTATTGTGTTTTTTATTTCATTCATTGAATTCTTCAGCTCCAAGGTTTCTCTTTGGGTCTTTTTTTATATTTATCTGTTTGTTCAGTTTCTCATTCAGATCATGAATTGTTTTCCTGATTTCATTTTTCTACCTGTATTCTCTTGTATCTCACTGCATTTTCTTAAGATTATTATTTTGAATTTCATTTCAAGCAATTTGTATATTTCCTTTTCTTTGGGGTCAGTTCTTAGAGAATTATTGTGTTCCTTTGGTCATGTTTCCTTGCTTTTCCATGTTCGTTGTGTCCCTGTGTTAATGTCTGAACACTGGTGGAATAGTCACTTCTTCCAAACTTTATAAAGTGGCTTTAATAGGAAAAGACTTTCACCTGCAGATGGGTCTTAGGGTGCCAGTTGGGAAGGGTGCAGTGGCTCTGGTTCTGAGTAGATGCAGTTATATAGCCTCCATGCAGTTTCTTTAGATGCAATCAACACCAACCCACAATGACTGTGGGTGCCTAAGTCCCCCAGGCTGTAGGAGTTTGTGGCACCAGCAGTGGTAGCATGTACTGTTAGAGTCTTCAGTGTCAAAGGCTTTTGGGGTCCTCCTGTACTAGTTTTCCCACAATGGTGAATCTTAAATGAGGGGACTCCTCTTGGTATTGGGTCTGAATTGGCACAAAGGCAGCTGCAGTGGTACTGGGTTCCAGGACACGGATTCTCAGAGCAACTTAGGAACCAAGGTCCTGGGCTTAGGGTCTTGCAGACCCACTGTGGCATCTGGGACTTGGGACACTGATTTACTTTCCAAGGCACTGTGGATGCAGATTGCCCACAAAGGTGGGGTTTTTTACTCTGAGGCACGCTCCAGCAGCCTGGGTACAGGGGGCTGGGTTTTAGCTGTGGCTCTGATGCTGGGAGGCAGGGCACAGCACTGGCACAGCTCCATAGAAGAAGGGGTGCTCCACAGGTTTGGCCCCAGAAATATGGGCACAGCTGTAATTTGGAAACCAGAGCTAAAAGGGCATAGTGGCAACTCAGGCCCTGGGGGTGAGGAACCACATCGTGGTAACTGTGAATGCTGGGACAGTAGGACATTGCCGTATTCCAGGCTCTGTGAGGACCAGTGCAGCAGGAGCAAGGACCCAGGCATGGCAGAGTGTAGGTATGGCTTGGACCCAGGTGACGAGGAGCAGTGTAGCAACAACTCCACTCCTTAGGAGGTGGGGTGCCTCAGGAGCTCAGGCTCTGGTAGCTAATCCAGTTTCAGGGAAGCAGGGTGTTACCATTGTTCAGCCTGGAGGGCAGAGTGTCCCAGCTCAGCCAGTGCTCTGTTTCCCTGGGACATGGGGTGCCACATCAGCTCAGCCCTGGGAGTTGTGGCGGTTCAGCTCGGCCACAGCACCAATTCCCCTTTACACAGGGTGCTGCTCAGATCAGGTGCTGGGAACGTGACTGTTCTGGGCCGCCGTGGTACCATTTCTTCAGGAGGTGGGGTGCTGCTTCAGCTCAGGTGCCAAGGGCATGACTGCTATGGGCAGCCAAGGCAGGGATTCCCCAGGGGGCAGGGCAACAAGCCAGCTCAGCCCTGGGGAGCAAAAGCAGCAGCAACTCAGAGGGTGGGAGAAGGGGCTCTATAGCAGCTTGGCCTCATGGTATGGGGTGTAGCAGCAGCTCGGCTTGGGGATGGCAGGCCATCAGGCAGGGTGGTGCTGTAGTGACAAAGCATCAGGGTTGGAAAAGTGTGGTGGCTACTTACCCCCAGGACACACTCCATCAGTGCTTCTTTTTCTAAGATGGTATAGCACAGCAGCTGCACAGACCACGGTGGGCAGGGCAGAGCATTGGCTTCTTCTGTGGAGCGAGCGCAGCCATGTGGACAATAGGCAGCTCCCTTGGCTGGGCTTAGTACCTGTTGAAGACTGCAGGAGTTCCCAGTGATGAGGACCGTAGGTGTCCGAGGTGATGATGGGGGCTGCTGGGGTCTTCTTGCTCACACTTTCCCAGCAAAGTGAAGTAGCTCTGGTTCCAAGCTGATCCCAACTGGGAGACAGGGTGGTGGAGGTGAGGTGTTTCCTTCTATTCTCTGTGTAGCCACCCTGAGTTGCTGTGCTCCACAGGGTTTCTGCTACTCCCTGGATATACTCCAGCACTCCCCTTCAGCTACCTGCATCAAAATGTAGTTGTGTATTTGTTGCTTTGGCTATCCCTGTGTGGGAGGGGATGGTGTCCCTACTCTCCTTACTTCTTTGTACCTTAGATGCCTCATCTGGAAAATGAAGCTCTGAGATTCACTCAATCCTCTGTCAAGATATACATCACAGATTAGACCCTTCTCAACTCTGAAGATCGAGAATTCCATGATTTATATGTCATTTCATATGTTTCTGTTTTTCACATTTTTAAAGTAATCATATTGATGGCAATTTACATAAAGAATAAAAAGTAATGTTAAAATACTTGTGGAAAATGACATTGTTTATTGTTGGTTCAAAAAGAAATAGATGCTTGGAGATACCATGCTACCCACTGTGAGTCTGGCTGGAATCCCTATAATCGTAATTGCTACAAACTTCAGAAAGAAGAAAAGACCTGGAATGAGGCTTTGCATTCTTGCCAGTCTGATAATAGTGCATTAATAGACATAGCTTCATTAGCAGAAGTGGAGTTTCTTGTGACCCTCCTTGGAGATGGTGAGTGCCAGCTGCCTTTGATTTAAGAGGTATGAAATATAATGTAGTAACTTCTTTTATTAATGAAGCTGAAAATGAAACTAAAGCTATTTAAAAGTGATTATTTGCAGCACATATATTTAAAGTTTCTAATTACTATCTGGGAGTGCAAATTCATTGGATTTTTATGAAATACATGCTTAGAAACTTTGTAACATCTTCACATATGCCAAATACATTAGGTGGGTTTTTAATTTTTTTAAGGGGCAAAGGTCATTTCCTAAAACTTCTAAAAAAAAACCCCTAAACCTGTAATTTAACTTTATGGCTACTATATAGCAGTGGTGTGCTAATAATTGGATTCAACAATTTTAGCCAATGTAAATGGATAAAATGTTGGGCGTGGTGGTTTCCAGACTGTGTGCTGTGTTCAGGAGTTCTGGGCTCCTGGGCCTTCACCCAGCTTTGGTTCATCAGGGCAGGTCTGCTTCTCCCTGTGTCATGTATTTGACATAGAATTCTGCTGAAAAACATTAAAATCACTGACTTGACTTTTCAATTTTTAAAAAGGAAAAAAAAATCCCCAAACTCTACTTTCATGACCTTTTCGATGTTAGGTTTTAGTTTGGGGTGACAACATAAATCCCTCTGTCATTTTTCCTAATCCTTTGTGTTTGAGATTAAAACAGCCTTACAGCTGCCTTTATCTCAACAAGGGTTGTTTAACATCTCTCTCAGCCACTTAGGGTCTTTTCACCCTACCTAGGCTGTCAAGCTTTAGTAACATTTCCAGCAGCCCCATTGTTTGCCTTTCAATGCCTTTAAGAGCTTCTGCTCCTTTTTCTTCAGCAGCAAAAAAAAAAAATTTGAAAAAGAAGGCGAGAGAAAATATATCTTAAAATTAGACTATCGTTAAAAGTTTGTTTTTCGGGCCGGCCCGGTGGTGCACTGCTACAGTGCGCCACTTGAGAGCACGGCGGCGCTCCCGCTGAGGGTTTGGATCCCATATACAGACCGGTTCCCGCTCACTGGCTGAACGAGGTGCGGGTGCAACACCGAGGGCTGCGATCCCGTTGCTGGTCCCAGTCCGGTACGGGCGTGACACTGAGGGTTGCGATCCGTTGCCGGACACGAAAAAAGGGAAAAAAAAAAGCTTGTTTTTCATGTGCCCTTTTCATAATCCAGTAGAACTATCTATTTTTCCTTTCTCTAGGCAGAAGCAAAACCAGACATTTTAGATCTACTTTACACATAGTCCCAGGAATCTCATGTGCTTAAGCTTTATCCATACACTGGCTTTAGTTCATGCTCTGCCTCCCTTATAAGACCTGTATTGGGCAGATCTACATATTGTGGGGGAAAAATGTTTAAACAAGTATTTTACACCGAGGCTTAAACTAAGTGTTTCATCACATGCAGAAATAACGAAAAACAACATGGAAAGTGTATATTTTGGTAATAATCCCAGTGTGTTATGTCTTTTGCAAATAATAGCATCTTTTAAGTAATTTATATTTATCTCTTACAGAAAATGCATCAGAAACATGGATTGGTTTGAGCAGCAATAAAATTCCAGTTTCCTTTGAATGGTCTAATGGCTCCTCTGTCATCTTTACTAATTGGCACAGACTTGAACCCCACATTTTTCCAAATAGAAGCCAGCTATGTGTCTCAGCAGAACAATCTGTAAGTTGGTTGATTTGTTCAGTGCTCACTTTGCTGGACTTGTATTGAGGGCCACCTGCACCAGGAACTTGGGCTGTGGCAGAGACCAAGATAGGCACAGTCCCTGCTCCTCATGGGGCTTTCCTGCTGGACAGTAAACAAGGATATTAAAAAAAAAAAAATGGTAATTATAGTCGTAGTGATTGCTCCAAGGAAATAGGTGACATAAAAGGGAGAAGCTTGGGTTGGGGCAGCTACCTCAGACAGGACAGTCACAGAAGGCCTCTCTGAAGAGGTGACATTTGAGCAGAGACTTAAAGAAAAACAAAGCAGAACAAAAAACTCTCGAAGAACAGGGGGAGGAACATTCCAGGCAGAGGGCAGCAAGTGCAAAGGCCCAAAGGCAACTAAGCTTGCCATGTTTAATGACTACAAAGGATACCAGTGGGGAGGAGGTGGTAGGAGATGAAGCGGGAGGGATGCCCAGATGGCAGGCCGGTAGGGCGTGGTAGAGGAACCACGAGTGTGCTTCAAGGAGACAGAGATCTGCTTTACATTTTAAAAAGTAACTGTGACTGCTGCACAGAGAATGGGTTGGAGAGGGATAAAATGGAAGCAGAAAAGCCAGTGTGGAGGCTACTCCAGGGCTGAATTAGGGTAGTGACTATGAAGAGAAGTGGACAGATTCAGGAATGATTTGGAGGAAGGATTTGTTGCTCAATTAGATACGGGGGTGAGAGAGAAGCAGGTGTGTGGCTTGAGCGGCCACCGTTTTGGTGGATGGTGGTGCCCTTGACGGCCACAGTGAAGAAGAGCGAAGAACCGAAGTCACAAGGTACTCTGGAGTGCGATGGTTTTTCAGCTCCATTATCTTGCTAATATAAAAGGATTTAAACAGTATGTGTAATCTCTGAAAACTGTGAATCAATGGCAAATCTTGCTTCTTTCCTCACATGAACGAAGTGGTCCCAATGGCCTGAACATCACACTTATCCCTGTGTTCTAGTCTCCCATTTATCTAAAACATCCAATTATAGAATTAGTTTAACCCCAAGCCATTTGAATGGTTTATTTTATGTTTAAAACAGGCTGAATCTCCTTGATCTGCTGCTGAATGCACTGGCTGAGTTTTAGGAGGTTACTGGGACTTGGTAGGCATCCTCATTCTTTCCACCCACCAGAATACCATGTCGAGGTCCCCCAAGAAGCAGTTCATTAAATGCTACTTAAGTAGCTTGACAAAGTGATTGTGCCAACCAAACATGGAAAATTTCTAAGCACTTACTTTTGTGACATGTTCCTTTGTTTTATCTTTTAAGGCTGACGTGGACTTGTGCATTTACAATTATATATGCTAAGGCAGTGTCTCTGAGTCAGATTTGAGGAGGAAGAAACAATGACCTCTCTAAATGTTTGTCTTGTGTCTAGCTCTGCTGAAACCCACTGCAGTTTATTCTAAGAATTTGATGCTTTATTGCCTCATTGATTTTGATAAAATTAAGATAACTTTCATTTCTTATGGACAGAAAAGGGTATTTTATTTACCGTGTTTACAGAACAGGAACCAACGTTTGGGCAAGGTTTTTTTTTTTTAATTGAGCTCTTTTGTTGTTGGTTTTTTTTGGTGGCTGGCCAGTTTGGGGATCAAAACCCTTGACCTTGATATTATCAGCATCACACTTTAACCAAGTGAGCTAACTAGCCAGCCTCTGAACAGGGATTACTTTTAAGAGCGCAGAGGTAAGTATTCATATTATTGGATGGGTCAGGACAATGCTGCTGTAAGTGTGATATTTTGTGACCCCTTTTTTGGCAGCTTAGTAGCCCCTTAAATAGTAGGTATATGAAAATTAACACTTATTTCCATGAAGTAGAACACAATATGAATATACTTATTATAATTAACAAGTTACCTAATCATGGCTGACACCTAAATTTGAATATGAGAGCATAGGAAATTATTTATTTGTTCATCCATCCAACAGTTATTAAGTAACTGCAGAATGAGTGACCCAACCCTATAACTGGATGGTTTGCTGGAAAACTCTGTGGGGGAGGAGTATTAGTTCATTTCTGTTGCTTATAACCGAATACCTGAAACTGGGTAATTTATAAGGAAATAGAATTTATTTCTTACAGCTTCAGATGCTGGGAAGTCCAATGTCCAGGGAGCACATCTGGTGAGGGCTTTGTTGGTGTGACTCTGTAGTGACACAGGGTACCACATGGCAAAATGGCTGAGCAAGAGAGAGAGCTAACCTGTTCACTCACTCTCTTTATAAAGCCGTCAGAACCACACCCATGAAACCATCCATTTATTACTGCATGAATGGATCAATCCATTCACTAGGGCATGGTCCTCACAATCTAATCACTTCTTAATGGCCCCACCTTTCAATTACCATAACAGGATTTCCCACCCTCAACACTGTTTTGGGAGGATTAATTCATGAATCTTTGAGGGGGACAATTCAACCCATAGCACGAGGGGTGCAGGGCTCCTCCTACACCTGAAGGTGTCAGCCACAGACATGGTATTTTTCTGAGGGTCATGGAAGGGCCCCATATTCCCCTAAAATTCTGGATGCCTAACATACCACCTAAAATTTGAATTGTGTAGTTTAACCCTAAGGTTCTGATTTGTGTTAAAATAAAACATCCTTTGGGAGGATAAAATTTTAATCTGTTGGGAGTTAATATATCATTATCAGCAAAGGATCTGAGAGTAGCCTTCAGCAGAATTAGGAGAATGCATGAAGGTATCTATCTGCCTATCATACAGAGAGGAAATGGGGTGGTGCTCTGAAGAATTGGTGATGAAGAAGGAAGGAGGGGGCCAAACATGGATTTTAGCTATGAAAATTTTATTACAGTAAGTCATGGTAGCTTTCAGGCATTTTTAGGCTTATACATGACAGCAGCAAAGCATTCAATATAACAGTTGGAAGTAGTTAAAGAGAGGAAGCAGCGTTCTCACTTGGTCAGGGGATGGCTGCATCCAAGCGGTTCCCAATGCGTGGGCCCCAGACCAGTAGCAACAACATCACCCGACAACGTGCTAGAAATGCAAGTTCTCAGGTCCGGCCAGACTACTGAATGAGACGAACTAGTACAAAACATTAAACCAAACCTTTAAAATGGGAATAATAACCCCCACCTCAGAGGAATAATGAGATAATATATGAAGATCACTGGGCATTAAGCCTGGCACATGGCAACCATCAAGAAACACAAGTTGCTCCCTCGCGCCTGCCCACCCAAATCAAGACTGCACACCTTGGATCTGTTACATGCTGGAGAGAGCATGGGGCCTCCCACCTGTAGAGAGAGTATCAGTCAACCCTTTCTGTGAGCCTGAGACATTACACTCATCCAGAAACACTTATTATTAATCGTATTTTTATTCAAATAATTGGTGTTGCCCATCAGCATAGAGTATATTCATTCATTCACCTGTAACATTTTTCTCCTCAGGAGGGACACTGGAGAGTTAAAAATTGTGAAGAAACACTTTTCTACATTTGTGAAAAACCAGGCCATGTCCTTTCTGACAGTGGATCAGGATGTCAAGAGGTAAGTGCTGCTAATAGTGTGATTTAGGTTACAGCGACTTCATAACTAGAACACTGTTCCTGCCATCGATTTAAACTGAATCTCAGTCCTCTTCCTCTCTTCCTCTCTCCCTCCCTTCCTTCCTTCCTTTCCTCCTCTGTTTTTTCTGAGCTTGAGCTACTCTTTACAAACCAAACAATTATCAGGCAGAGGATTTACAGCCCAAGGTCATTGTCTCGCTATCCTCTTAGACCTGAGACTATTTTTCTTTTGAGGTAAAAAATGTAAATGATCCTGTTGTACCCGCTGCACAAACAATGACTGTCCCGTGATGCCCGGTCTCATACATAGAAAAACTATGTCAGAGAGAAAAATAACACACCCGGAGTCTTACCTTCCTCTACATCTTTCTTAGACTTCAATATTTGAATACAATACAGTAATGGAGAGAAGTATACATTTTGCAATATATTTACTATTTGGGAAAGGGATAACAAAAATACTTTAGTATTTTAAGTAACAAAGTATTTTATATACTTTAAGCAATAAAAAGTACTTAATACTTTTGTTTAAACTTAAAAGGTAGTTTATGATCTGCTTTAAATTTCTTGAAATACATTCAATACCCTGGAGCAAAGTTACATAAAATCTACGTATCAGTGTCCTCAGCACATGCGCTCATGTGTTCTCTCTCTCTCTGTCTGCTTCTCTCTCTCTCTCTTTTTCTCTCATTGGAAATTTCTATACTGTATGAGTCTCAAAAAATTTCCCAGACCTGGTTTTTATGTAATTCTGCTTTAATTATTTTCTCTTCTAATTCAATTATTTATGTTCCAACTAAACAATGACCCATCTCTCCAGAAACTGCATTTTGGTCCTTAATCAACATGTAAAACATATGAACTGCTCTTCACACTCTATTCATAACACAGATGCTATCACTAACATGTCACCATTTTATCTAATGATTACAATTCCTGAATTAATTAATAGCTGTCGCTGACCTCATGTCTACTTGACCAGAAATATTGGGGGGAAAGTTTGTCTTATTGTGGATTTCAAGGCAGCTTAACATGTTTTGTTTTTGTTGAAAGGACAATTAACTTCTTACACAGCAGAAATAAAACTTATGTTCTATTGAGACTTTTGCTCACTCCTTCTCTTTTCCAGCCAGCATTACAAGTATTTAAAAATTCTGAGTTCAGAGCCATTTCTCTAGCTTTATGGGGAAATCCCTGTTAATTTTATTACATATCAGTTTATGAATATGGTTTCGAAAGTTTCCTTTCTTTTAGACAGTTGCTTCAATGCAATTCTCTAAACAGTCTGCACTTGCAAAATCAACTTGTAAAATCAGTCTTGATAATTTCAAAGCAAAAAAACAGGGTTTTCCTCTGAGTCACATTTTTGGGATTGGACAATATGAGCAATTGCTTCAGTGTTGTCATTGTATTAGTCCATTTTCTGTTGCTTATAACAGAATACCTGAAACTGGGTAATTTATAAAGGAATGAAATCTATTTCTTACAGTTTTGGAGGCTGGGAAGTCCAAGGTCCAGTGAACACATCCAGTGAGGCCCTTCTCCTTGGTGGGAACTCTCCACAGTGTCCCATGGTGACCAGGGTATCACATGGTGAGAATGGACTGAGCAAGAGTGAGCTAATCTTCTCACTTGTTCTCCTTATAAAGCCATCAGAGCCACGCCCATTACTACATGAATGAATCAATCCATTCACAAGGGCACAGTCTTCACAATCTATTCATCTCTTGAAGGCCCCACCTTTCAAACACCATAATTGGATTTCCCACCCTCTAAACACCATTACAATGAAGATTAAGTTTCCAGTACATGAACTTTTTGGGGCAACATTTGACCACAGCAGTCATCATCATCCTTTCCCTTAAAAATGAAATGGCACCTAGTATACAAATGGTTAATCGATACAATCAATTAATTACCCTTTCCACTTTCATTATCTGGACAAAGGCTTGTAGTAAGTAACGAGTCTGTATTTCTGGTTATTACTATACCACATCTTTCATTCCTTCCCTTTTCTTGTGCCTGTTCAGTTCTTGGATGTTTTGTTTTGCTAAGCAGCTTATGATCTAAACACTAATAATGAAAAAGGAATACTGTGTTGTTAGAAAGGTCAAATTGTCGGCCCCGTCTACCTGTCCTTCCAAGTACAAAAGCAGTCTAACCTCCCTGCCCCTGTCCCAGAGTGGTCCACAAAGGGGCTCTGTCTGGAGCTGTCAGTTACCCCCACAGAGAAGGCGGGCGTAGAAATAAAAGGATGTGGGTTCAGAGCAGACCCTTCATGGCTGGATCAGGAGCGCCTGCGATCCACACCTCATTTAATATGTTTCAAACTAAAGTAGCTGATTTCTAAAGGAAGTTTTCTTTAATTTACTGCAAGGCCAAGACCTTTTCAAGAAATATACTAGGAATCATTTTATATCTGATCAAAAGCTGGCGAGTATTGGCATGGCATAAAATGAAGTGTATTTTTAAACTGGTGAATAAGTAAAAATAGATATGAGTGATGTGATTTTATAATATTGGAAGAGAAAGAACTACAATAACTCAGGCAAAATATAGAAGACTAATGAATGTATGTCTTCTGTACTGTGTGATTTTAAAGAATAAGAGCCACCTTTCTTTGCTCGCAGGGCTGAGCCATAGAGCTACACATTTGTCATTTTTGTCTGAGGGACAAAGCTTGCTTTCTTCCTCCTGAAAAGGACAGTCAGCTAATTTAGGAATAATCTTTACCAAAAAAAAATACACATATAGCATATATTTTGGCCATTCTATATTTGGAATCACTGTGATCCAACCAAGACTATCCTGAATCGCGCCAGAATTGGGTTCTAGGCCTGGCTGATCCACTAATTGTTGACTTTATCCAAATATCTAATCTCAGTGAATCTCAGTGGGATAACATGAAGTAATCAATATGAAAAACAGTTGAAAAAAGTCTGCAGTATTACCTAAATACATATGTCCTCTTTGCTCATACTGAGTCCCCAGTTCAATTCTAAGATCTCTGTCTGCACCGTCTGCCTTTGAGTCTCAGAACAACCCTGTGGATACTATTATCATCCCCATTTTATAGATGAGAATATTAGAAAATTAAATAAGGACACATGGTGGTGGAACCAGGATTCAAACTCATGTGTTCGGACTCCAGAGCCAACACTCTTAATTCTACTCTCTGTATGAAATTTGTATGAAATTCTCGGCCGGCCCGGTGGCGCACTGGATAGTGCGCCGCTTGGGAAGCGCGGCGGTGCTCCCGCCCGAGGGTTCGGATCCCACATACCAGATAGAATAAATTTAAAGCTATCAAGACAAAAATTCAAAGAGTTTTTAGGGAGTAAGAGAAGAAAGTTACATAAGTAGTAAATAAGAATATGCAAAAAAAAAAAATCTTTTGGTGTTTAACTGTATCAGATTATGTCCTTAATTTCCCTTTTCCATTTTTAAGGGATGGGAGAGACATGGTGGATTCTGTTACAAAATTGACACAGTCCTTCGAAGCTTTGACCACGCTTCCAGTGGCTACTACTGTCCTCCTGCACTTGTAACCATTACAAACAGGTAAATAAAAACTTCTAACAGAAACGTGACTGTGCTTTGATATGAGGGCTCTCCGAATGGTAAAATCTAGCTATAATCATTACTTGTCAAAATCTAAAGCATGCTGTACATTGGAATATTATATTATTTAAATTACTTATTGAGATGAATTTAAATCATACTATGTTATTCCAAAGTTGATTTTTTTGAGTAACAAGTAGTAAAATTTAAGGTGACTTTTACTTTCTATAAAGATTTATAGGGCCGGCCAGGTGGCGCACTGCTACAGTGCGCCGCTTGGGAGCGCGGCGGCGCTCCCGCCGAGGGTTCGGATCTCACATACAGACCAGCCGCTCACTGGCTGAGCGAGGTGCGGGCGCAGCACCGAGGGTTGCGATCCCGTTGCCAGTCCCGGTCCGGTACGGGCGCGACACTGAGGGTTGCGATCCGTTGCCAGACATGAAAAAAGGGGGAAAAAAAAAAAAGATTTATAAATCATTGAGTTTTGCTAATATACACAGTTATGTTTAGATTTTATCTTCTAATTGCTTGTAATGGAAAAAAAACCATGTTATTTAAAAATTAAGTTTTTTTTAAATGTAATGTGTATGAGTTGTATGGTTTTTTCTTTTTAGCAGAAAAGAAAGCGTATCTAAAATGTGAAGTGTATTCAAATACTTCACCATTGCTTCTTAGGTCTATTTTATTTAGATTGAGACTTCTCTGAGCACACGTGTCTTTCTGATGCTGTCAGAGAGACTGTGCCCTTTTTACACTCCATACAGTTTGCAGCATGCTACAGATGTGTAATAAAAGGGGATAAAAGTACCAACAACAAAGGTGACCTCATGTCACTATCAATGCCAGGAGGTCAGTGAGGGCTGAGGTCTGACTCCTCCATGCTGAAGACAGAAGCGAGGTAGAACTCTTCAGTGGTTGCAAGGAAACTACTCCTGCCAAGTAAGTCACTTGCTTTTTTGCCTAGGATATTGCCTTTAAAAATATCCACTGAATCAGGAAATAGGACAACTAGTGCTATGGTTTATCTAGAGACCCTCACATGTAAGTCTAATTTGTAGAGGAGTAGCATACTTACTTTGCTCTCCCCAGGTTGGAAGTCAACATTCAAAACTGCCACTATTTCCTTCCTCCTCCCACCTTCTTACTCTCCTGCCTTCTTTCCTAGTCTTTCTTCCAGACAATGCATAGGAATGCATGAGCACATGGGCATGCACACACACACACACACACACACACACATACACGAATAGGATTTGGCAAACTAAATTGCCTCCTTCGGTATAGCACTACCTTTGAGGTATCGCAGTGCTGTTTTTAGTTCTACCTTTCTCCTTCCCAGGGATAGCTACCAGGCAGAAGGAAGCCTTTATCCCCTCAGTTTGCTAACCCACCCAAAAGGTTCCAAGAGCACCTTGGGTTGGAAGACCCCAAGTCCAGTGAGTCATTGGAAATTACAGGAGCCTGACCAATGAAACTATGCTGTTTTGTTCATTGTAATTAAATTATGTTTTTCACTGAAGAAAATAAGTATAATTTTTTCACCTGTTTTTTATGTCTTATTTTTTTTCTCTTTCCTTTTGTTTAATATCACTGAGTGCCTGTCACATATCTTGCATTATATTAATTACCTTTCATATGTTATCTTGGCCATAGAAAAAATTAATAGCCAAGAGTTTATTAGAAAATTATTTATTGAATACATATTTTGTGAGAGGGACAATATTCAACACTGGCATGCTGTACCAATGAAATAAAAGGCATCATGTACTTGTCTGGTGCCTTGTGCAGCCCAGCAGCTGAAGGCATAGAAGACAGACACATAAATGAAGATGGCGTAGCACAGTACATGGATAAACTCAAAGTAATGTCATAGATAGCCCATGGTGCCAAAATGACCCGAGCTAAGGCAGAAATCTAAGTTCAAAATACTTCATATTCTACAAACTATTTGGGACCTCATACAAATGACAGAAAGTATCTGGAAAAAAATCTGTTTTATTTCCCCAAAACTGGATACAAGAGTATGTGTGAATACCTTAAATTTTTTCTTGGATAAACTGTAGTCAGTAGCCCCACTCTTGCATGTCCGGTCCAACTCTAAAGCAGAACCATGGCATAGGTAAGTTTGTTTTTATCCCAATCTCAGCCTCTGAGGCCCATCCAGGTTGCCTCGTGCTGGCATTCTAACCAGGCCCCCGAGGACCACATGTGACCCGCACTGAGGCATCTCTCTGCGTCAGTTAACATATATGTATACTACCCCACAAACATGTCTACATCCAAAGCAGTGACGACAACTCTGGACTTGCGAGTTGAGGAAAGGAAGGGCCCAGGCTCTTGATTTGTATTCATTCAACCCTATGAGAGATAAAACAAGGGTCTACACTATACTGCTCTTTGAGCCACAATACATGTTGGCACATTCTCCAATAGCATCTTTTGTCTGAGAAGGTTGGGCAGTAGATGAAAAGTCTTCTCAGACCCGGGAGCATCCACTAGCAGCCATGGTAATCATTTTCTTCCATTTCTGATTTCCTGTTTGAGTTAAGAAACTCCTGTCACTCTTCAGTACCCAAGCTTGTAGTTGCTAATTGATTTTCCACTCTTCTGCACACTTGAGTGACAGGTTTGATGGGCACAATTAGAACCACCTGCTACAAATTACTTATTTCTTTTGTTATAGGGCAACTGCTCCTGGTCTAGGACTTTTAACACTTTGTGGAGTAGAGGAGGGAAGAAAAATAGATCCTCACTGCTGAATAACAGATTTTTATTTGCTTGCCAACTATTTGTTACAAAAGTTTATCAGGCCTGGCCACTTTGCATCTAGAAAAAGCACGAATGCAAAACTTGAGTTTCAAAATAACCATTGATAATTGTCTTTAATGAATGTATGTCTAAATCTTGGATCAATCAGCCATGGACTATTTGGTACAGAATAATCTAAATACATTCAGTTTTGTGAATTTTGCTAAAAGTGAGAAATCCTGCAATATCTCATTTTCTCCTAGGTTTACATGTACATTATTTTCAAGCATTTTTACAGCTCTGCCATTTTCCTGCAACCGCCAAAAGACATTTGCAGCTAATTTTTCTTTATGATGGTAAATTCTACCATTTTAATCATTTTTAAGTGTACAGTTCAGGGCATTAAGTGCATTCACATTGTTGTTCATCCACTACTATCCATCTCCAGAACTTTTTTTATCACCCCAAACTGAAACTCTGTGCCCATTAAACAATAATTGCCTGTTCTCGCCTCCCCCAGCTCCTCGCAACCACCATTCTATTTTCTTTCTCCATGAGTTTGACTTCTATATGTACGTCATGTAAGTGGAATCATACAGTATTTGTCTTTTTGTGTCTGGTTTATTTCACTTAACATAATGCCTTCAAGTTTCATTCATGTTCTCACATATGTTAGAATTTCCTTACTTTTAAAGTCTGATTAATATTCCGTTGTATGTATATACCACATTTTGTTTATCCATTCATTCATCAGTAGATACTTGGGTTGCTTCCACTATTTGGCTATTATGAATGTACAAATATCTTTAGAGTCCCTGCTTTCAGTTCCTGAACACATACCCAGAAATGAGATTGCTGGATCATATGATAGTTCTATTTTGAATTTTCTGAGGAACTGCCATACAGTTTCCATAGTGGCTGCACTGTTTTACCATTTTATGTTCCTACCAGTAGTATACAAGTGTTCTAATTTCTCCACATCCTGACCAACAACTGCTATTTTCTTTTCTTTTTTTCTTCTTCTTTTTTTTTTTTTTGATAATAGCCATCTTAAGGGTGTGAAGTGGCATCTCATTGTGGTTTTCATTTATTTGCATATCCCTAATGGTTAGTGATGCTGAGCATCCTTTGACATACTTAATCACCATTTGTATATCTTCTTTGGAGAAATGTCTATTTCAATCCTTTGTCCATTTTTGAATTGGGGTGTTTGTTTTTTTCTTTGTTGAGTTATAGGAGTTCTATTAATCTCTTATCAGATTTGCAAATATTTTCTCCCATTCTGTAGGTTGCCTTTTCACTGTGTTGATAGTATCCTTTGATGCACCAACATTTTTAATTTTATGAAGTTTAGTTTATCCATTTTTTATTTTGTTGCCTTTGCTTTTGGTGTCATATCTAAGAAAACATTGCCAAATATAATGTCCTGAAGCTTTTCCCCTATGTTTTCTTCTAAGAGATTTATAGTTTTAGCTGTTATGTTTAACTCTTTGACCCACTTTGAGTTCATTTTTGTACACAGTGGAAAGCAAGAGTCCAGCTCCATTTTTTTGCAAGTGGATATCCAGTTTTCCCAGCACAATATGTTGGAAAGACTGTCCCTTCCCCATTCAATGGTCTTGGCACCCTTGCTGGAAATTATTTGACCATATATGCAAGAGTTTACTTCTGGGCTCTCTAGTCTATTCCTCCTATTGGTCTTTATGCCAGTACCACACTGTTTTGATTACTGTAGCTTTGTAGTAAGTTTCAAAATCAAGAAGTGTGAGACTTCAAACTTGGTTCTTTTTCACAATTGTTTTGGCTATTCAGGGTCCTTTGAAATTATATATGAATTTTGGGATAAATTCTTCAATGTCTGCAAAAAAAGAAAAATTGGGGATTTTGATAGGGATTGCATTGAATATGTAGATCACTTTAGGTAATATGGACATCTTTTTTTTTTTTTTTTTTTGTTTTTTTCTGTGTCCGGCAACGGATCGCAACCCTCAGTGTCGCCCCCGTACCGGACCAGGACTGGCAACGGGATCACAGCCCTCGGTGTTGCTCCCGCGCCTCACTCAGCCAGTGAGCGGGAACCGGTCTGTATGTGGGATCCGAACCCTCGGTGGGAGCGCCGCCGCACTTCCCAAGCGGCACACTATAGCAGTGCGCCACTGGGCCGGCCCATGGACATCTTAACAATATTAATTCTTCCAAGCCATGAACACAGGATATCTTTCTAATTTTTGTGTCTTTAATGTCTTTCAGCAATATTATGTACAAAGACTTCCACTGTTTTTTTTTTTTTTTTTTTAAGTTTCAGTTCTCTCTATATTCTGGGTATTAATCCTTTATCAGATATATAATTTGCAAATGTTTTCTCCTATTCTGTGTGCTGCCTTTTTACTCTATTAATAGTGTCTTTTTTTTAGTTTATTTTATTTATTGAATCAAAATCGATTATACATATTTTGGGGGTTGAACATTGAGATATGTTGATTAAATCAATATTACTAGCATATATATTGTTACAAATCATAATTATTCTCTATATCCCTTGTCCAATCTCTCCCCTTCCCCCATTCCCTCCCCCTCCCCCCTCTAATTGCCCTAGATTTCTTCTCTCCTCCTTCTGAAAGAATAATGGTTACTCTGTTAATTTGTTGCCTAGATGATCTGTCCAATGCTGAGAGATGTGATCAGGTCCCCCAATATTATCATAGAGCAGATGCTTCTTTTGTCACTTTGAAATGAGTTTTGTGGAAAGAGACATCCTCTTCTTTTCTTTCTCTCTGCTGGTGACTCTCCTTGTGTGAATGCACTACAGTGGTGGCGGACCATCTGTGTGGTGGTTGTGGCATCTAGCCGCTTTTGTGGCAACCATGGTTATTGTGGTGGCTGTGGTGGGCCACCCACGTGGAAGTGCTTTTTGTGGTATGCTCCTTGGCACTTGCAGTATGCCTGGTTGTGTGGTGTGTTTGGTCCCCTTCTCCATGCCTCTGGTCCCTGGGCAGGCCCTAAGGCACTGGCGCTATGTGCCTGGTTTGGGGAGAGAGTTCCGGTCCCCTTCTCCATGCCCTGGGCCCCTGGGTGGGCTCTGAGGTGCTGGCATGGTGTGCCTGGTGGGGGAAAGAGGTCCGTTCCCCAACTCCATACCCCGGATCCCTGGGTGGATCCCAAGGCACCGGCTCTGTGTGCCTGGTTGTAGGAGGAGGGTCTGGTTCTCAGCCCCATGCCTTGGGTCACTGGGCAGGACCCAAGGCACTGGCTTGGTGTGCCTGGCTGTGGGAGGGGGGTCGGGTCCCCTTCTCCATGCCTTGGGTCTCCAGGTGGGCCCCAAGGTGCTGGCATGGTGTGCCTGGTTGTGGGAGGGGGGTCGAGTCCCTTTCTCCATGCCTCAGTTCCCTGTACAGGCCCTGAGGCACTGGCACAGTTTGCCTGGAAGTGGGAATGGGGTCCGGTCCCCAGATCCAAGCCTCTGGTTCCCAGGCAGGCCCCAAGGTGCTGGTGGTGTGCCTGGGCCGGAACTAATTTTACACTTTTTTTTTTTTTTAATTGAAATAGCTCTCTAGTGAAGGTACTTCCAATGCATTACTTTTTTCAATCCCTTGTTTTAGGTAATTCAAACACAATCATTATAGCACTGTTGTTTCTAAGTACTGTGGTGTTCACAGATAAGAAACATCTTTTTTTTAATTGCATATATCACTGGCTAAACTGACAATTAGCAATTAAGTATAAAATACTTCCTTTTAAAGTGCACATTTTTTGAAATGCAAAATGTTTAATCCAAAATGAAAAAAATTTTTCAGTGCTAAAACTATGTAGTGCTATCTACAAATTGCATTTGTAAAGTTAAAATATAATGTTTAGCACAATGAGCAAAACTTTTGGTCAAACTGGTGAAAGTTCAAGATGTATTTTTCTTATTTACATTGAGAACACACTCTTGATTTCTTAACTTTTTTAAGGAGTTGATTGGAAAAGTTAATTTCTTTTTGATTCCAAGAATTATTTCCCTATAAAGTTTGATTTTGTAAGTAGGTACACAGAGCAAAATATGTTGTTTTTTTTTTAAAGAATAACAAGTTTTACTTTACTAAACTCCTTAAAGATAACATGGTATTCTGGTTCAAATAATAACATAAAAAATATGTACATATGGTTATTTTTGGTTCCTTATATTATAACAACATTTGGATTAAGCAGCCTTAGTGAAACCAGGCAAAATGTCAGATATTATAGAACTCAGGAGTATTCTCTTATAAATAATTCTAAAACACAGAGCCAGAAAAGACTTTGAAAGATCATCTGCTCTACTACTGTAAGCCAGAGTTTTCATAATCCTTTTAGTGTTTAAAACCAAATAGTGAGTGGTAAAGAATATAAAATGCCCTCTTGTTTCTTTACTTGTCGGAAACAGACACTCACGAGATTATACACTGTTATCCAGACTTAATGATTTAGAAGAAAGGCATATTGCTGAATTTCTTTACAAACAGTACTGTCTTCTAAAATAGGCCAAGAAAACTAAAGTCCCGTTTTGATTTGAAGGTTTAAGATTTTATGTGTGAACATTACATGCAGCTACTTAAAAGGTATACTTGCCGGTTGAAAAAGCAGGTTTCTGTTGTTTTAAATAATGATAAATGGAGATAAAATAGCAACTCAGAGTGGATTAAATAAATCTACAGCCAACAGGGGACAAAAGCAAAATGTTGTCATGAATAATGATACCCAAGGTCAAGTTCAGAGAAAACGTCATTTCTCTGCATTGTTTGGTTACATGCCATAGTAGAAGGTAATGGAAGAACCAGCCACGCCCCCTGGGTGTGGAACCGGCGTAGGGAACCAACAGCATCTGTGGTGCAGTGCTTTGCTGGCCTCTCACACAGCAATTTCAGGCACCAGGTGGGGATAATAATGGTGCTAGTCTTCCTCAGAGGGGATCAAAAAAAGCACATCATGTGTCATGAGAGCAGGAACAAATGAAAGTGTAAGGAAAATTACAATAGCATCTGGGCAATATTTTGTCTTCTATACCTTCCTTTTAAACCACAGTAACATAAAGTGCTGCCAGTGTGATCTGGTTAAAAAAGAACTTTTCTAGTTTCAAATGTGTGCTTTTTAGATTATTAATAGAGTATCAGAAAATATTTGCTAAAGCATGACTAAAATCCATATGCTCTGCAACAATGAGATGCCTAAGGTCACTAAATGTTGCTAGTGATGTCCTTAAGACACTTAAAAATTTTTACTTCTTTTTGTTCTTTTCTCTTTTCCTCCCATTTCCTTTGAGACTTCTCTATTCTTAAATGACCCCATTGCTCTTGTTTGCCATAGCAAGTTAAGAAAGCATGATAGTAAAAAAAAATTGGATTAGGCTGCCCGGTGGCGCACTGCTACAGTGCGCCACTTGGGAGCGCGGTGGCGCTCCCGCCGAGGGTTCAGATCCCACATACAGACCGGTTCCCACTCACTGGCTGAGCGAGGTGTGGGAGCAACGCCCAGGGTTGCGATCCCTTGCCGGTCCCAGTCCGGTGCGGGCACGACACTGAGGGTTGTGATCCGTTGCCGGACACGAAAAAAGACAAAAAGGAAAAAAAAAAATTGGATTAAAAAAAAAAAGTCTAATGTGCTTTCTCTTTAGGTTTCCTGGGAAATTGCATCAGGCCTTTCTTTTCCCATTCATTCAGCAGGTCTGGCCAGAAGTGACCACTGTTCGAAATGTTTGTTCTAACTTTATATATATTGAAAATAGATTTCCCAAGATAGTTTCAAACTTAGCCTAAAAGTTCAAGGCTACTTAAATTATAATACTCACATTTCTCTTATTAGGTGCGCATGTAGAAGCATATATATAAGCTTTCTACATTCTACTTTTGATGCATTCATGCTGGGAAGAGAGCCTTGCTGCCAATCATTGAACTCTAATTCATTCAGCTGCTTGCGAATAATACTAGTGGGCATACTGCCTTGGATTAGTTCCTAGGGTTTAAATTTATCTTCAGTGAAAATGCACATTTGAGCACATTTGAATACGCCAAGGACTCCATGTGCCTGTGAATAAACTGATTTGGGAGACACAAAACTGTTCCTGCCAACCTTGTTCCTTTCTCACCAGCGAAGTGTGGTGGGGGCGTGCGTGTGAACTCTATATTGGTAAATGCTCATTCAGAAAAATGTAATTTCCTTCCTCCTCCCTCCTGCCAATCCCCATCCCATGCACATATAGTGTGGTAAGTGGTATGTGACCTAATTATAAAATAGGCCACTTCTTACTTCAGGAGATGTACTGAAGCTGTGTGGACTTTACCACCTACACTCCGAAATTGGAGCTGCACTCTATTCCTTGAAAGAATTAAGCCCTGTCTGTAAGAGTCACATTTTCCTCACTCATGCATTTCTGGGAATTGCATTGATATTTGGCATTTATTAGTAATGTTCAGGGTCTTCGGGTATTTTTCTGCTCCATGTTCTAAAGAATTAATGAGAAATGCTTGCTCTGGTGCTATTTAGTGCACTTCACTATGTTTTAATGGCATTTTTTATTGCCCAGAAATTTAATATAACCATTTCCTTTTTCCCTCTTTAAGGTTTGAACAGGCTTTTATTACCAGTTTGATCAGTAGTGTGGTAGAAACGAAGGACAGTTATTTTTGGATAGCTCTTCAAGACCAAAATGCTACAGGAGAATATACTTGGAAGACAGCAGGGCAGAAATCAGAGCCAGTGCAGTACACACACTGGAACGCACATCAGCCTCGTGAGTAGCAAACCCCAAAACACCAACTCCCCCTCACCTCCTACTTCTGTTTTCTTTGCCCCAAATTCCTCCCACCCCTTGGTCTGCCTCCTTTGATTCTTCCTTAGTGATTTCTTTTCTTGTTTACTTAGGTTTTTCTGCTTTTGTTTTCGGTGGCTGGCTAGTACCAGAACCTTAATGTTTTTTTAATGCCTAAGTTAACTAAAATGATCACCCCAGGTTTGCAGGGTGTGACATACGGCTGGTCATTTTTGAAAGTGTAATCCATATGAGTCATTGACAGTTTTAGGTATAAATTCATTACTCAAGGCCATTCTTGCCTTTATTAGCAGGAAGTCCAGTTTCTCTCTCCTAAGGTCTTTCCCCCCATTCCTACTCATTGTCTAAGGATCTCAGGGGTTTACTCAGTCCAGAATAGTCCATTGTGCTTTAAAGTCCAGTGAATGAGCACGTGTGGGCACATCTATTCAGTTCGCAGTCACTGCCATATGGCTTCACTGTGGAAGGGTGGCCATTACTGAGGTAACGTTCTTGTTGGTCTACCTCTTCTGTGGACTCCTGTGCTACCTTAGCCAGGATTCCGGAGCTAACAGCTCTATGAGTTCATCCTCATGTCTCAGCTCTGGATTCCAAAGCATGAAACTGTGCCAGGTTGGCCAGTTCTAGAGAAGCTGATGGCTGGAGCCAGTCTACCTGGCTCTACCCTAGAGTCAGTCTCTGTTGAACAAGCTTTATATGAAGGCTCTTATATGAAGCTTAAGTAACAACCTAGATCCAACCACCCTTTGTCTCAGGTGAGTTCCTGTTTGGATGCTTGGTCCCTTCCTTGCCCGTGGATCTTGATCAGGGCTACACCATTAGACAACAGACATTAGGTTACCTGAAATGAGTTAGGGGCCTCAGGCTCTTCCCTCTCAAGGTCCTGGGCTTTTTGTACAAATTAGTCTATCTCATCCTAAGAGCTCTGTATACTAAGGTAAAGAAAGTAGTGTTTGCTAAGCCACAGGGGAGGGGTATCTAGTGGCCTCATGCTAAAATATAAAAGAGGCCACACAAGTCTTTTTTCTCATAATTATTATAGTGCAGTCTAAGGTGGTTTGCTTATTCTAACTCTAGACAATGGTTGGCAAAATGTCACCGGTTTTTAAAATTTAACAATTAAGCCATGAATATATCAAGGTGACTATTTGCCCAGAACAATTCCAATTTATATCTATTGACCGACAGCAATTAATAGCATCTATTATTACTCTAAATTTTCTTGGTTTGGATGATAAATTATACAGATGCCCTAAGTATTGAGAAGTGCAGTAAGAAAAATATGGAAGTCCTCCATTCTTCCCTTCACCTCCCCACCATCAACTCATGTACCTTCTCAGAAATAACCGCTGTTAAGTATTTGGTGTGACCCTGCTGGTGTTTGACTATGCATTTACAGACATACATGCATATGTAATTTTTAAATGGGATTAAGATTGCATATTTCTGGGTTTTTTTCACTTAACAATCTGTCTTGGAGAACATTCCACATCAATATTTATTAGTGAACATTTTAAGCAGCTACATAGAATTCCATAGTTTGTATAATGCATAATTTGCTTTGCCAGGATCCTACTGATGGACATTGGGTTAAACTCATTTTCTTTTCTGCTACAACAGTGTTGTAACAAATATCTTTATGTAGATGTCTTATGCATAAGTATGAGCACAATGGCCTAAAAGCAAAAATGCCATTAAGGCATTATTGGTTTACATCCTTATCTAACAAAATATGAGCGTGCCAATTTTCCCACATTTTTGCCAATACTAAGTATAACAAACTCTAAAAATTCCCTCATTTTATGCCAGCTCAGCCATATATTTATAAAGATGTTTTCAAAATATTTTATCCAGGATTTCAGTTGGTTCAATCAGTAGGGTCTTTTTTGGGTACCTAATCTGATTATTTCTTAGAGCATCTTTTATTTCAATACATGGAATTTTAGGATAGAAAAGAGATAGACACGTGTTCAGACTGCTGCTTAGTCTTTGAGATGTCCCCTTCTGTGTTTTTATTTTTAATCCTACCTGTCTATAATTCCATCACATAATTAAAGCCATTTATTCAACAAACTTATGAAACATTTGTATGACAAAGGACATAAAAAACAAATTACCTAAAGAACATACCTTCAAGTTGCTATAATCTAGGAAAAAAGGAATTAAAAAGATAATATGAATCCTTTGTATGGTAGAATTTAATAGCTAGAGAAGTAAAAAGAATTTTCTCAGTTTGAGCAAACATTGGAAGCAAAGGAAACACTGAGCAGCTTTGAGAAATTTTAGTAGCTCTGTGCAACTATAGCATAGGATACGTGAAAAGAAGTTATAAAGATAAGGCCAGAGAAGTATATTGAAACCACAGTTTAATATTATAAGCTAGAGAGTTTTCACTTATTCTTTAGATATTGGCAGTCATTGAAGGTTTGGGGTCAGGAAAACAGAATCAGAACTGTTCTTCATTGGGGGTGTTAGGTAGGATGATACTCATAGATTTAAGAGATTACATTGCAGGATGGCACATGCATAGAGTACCCACTGTCAAATCGAACTCAAGTTCAAATGCCAGCTGTATGATCTTGGGGAAGTTACTTAATCTCTCCATATTTCAGTTTCCTCTTCTTTAAGAAAAGGACAGTAATACTATCTACATCACAGAATTATCATGAGGATTACATGAAATATTACATAGCTCCTGCTGCATTGTAAGTAATCGATAAATATTAGCCTTTCTTATTGCAGAGAAAGAGTTCGTAGGATTTTGCCTAAAGCTACAGAGAATAACACTGTGCATATTAGGATTTCTAACCCATACATTCTAAGATCCAGGACCTACTCTGTGTTGGGCCAGCCACCAATGTGAGCACCCTGGAAAATCACAGGGCTCTGCAGGAGGACCTGATTGTTGCCTGTACTCTTCCTTTTCCTCAGCACTTATGAGACAGCTTTAAATGTTTTGTAAAAAATTTCTGTAGACCTCCTGAAGTTAAAAGAAAGAAAAAGAGATCCAAAAAAGTCAGTTTCCATTCTCTGTCGAATATATGGTTTGAAAACTTGTACTTTTGAATATTTCCAGTTCCCAGTCCAGCATGTAAGAAGCTTAGAAGCTGCCATCCCATCGTAACAACAAGTAAAAATCTAAACAAATTGAAAAATCAGCAACTCTACTCAGATTCATCAGAGAAATGAGGCCACAGAGCAAACCACTACCCCCAAAATTGGAGAGACAGGAGGATACAGAGAATCACAACTTACTGGAACAGAAGCCCATAAGCAGAAACCTCCACAGGAACCAGTGCTGGCGCAGGAAAGCCTGAACTGTATTGATGAAATTGCTGGAGGTTCAGTGTAGACAACTCTGAGAGTTAAAAACTCTAGTGGGACCCAGTCACAGGGGTCTCTTACACTTTTGTATATTACACTTTTGTGTGATAGAGCTATCTTCAGGTGTTCTGTCAAGTTCTCACAGTGAATAAACATTAGAGAAAATTCCCCTAATGCTTCCAGAGAAAATTCCCCTAATGCTGCCAGCAGAGGGAGGGAAAAAGGAACCATTTAAAAATATAGCAGAGTGTTGGTGTTCTCTAAGCTTCCTGGATCTGTAGTTTGGTGCCTGACATTAATTTGGGGAAATTATTAGTTATTATTGCATCAAATATTGCTTCTGTTCCTTTTTCTCTGTCTTCTCCTGCTGATATTCCCATAACATATATTTACACCTTTTGTAGTTGTCCCACAGTTCTAAACGGACTAAAAAGTATAGTCCATTTTGTGTTACTATAACAGAATACCTGAGACTGAGTAATTTATGAAAAACAGGTTTATTTGGGTTAAGATTCTGGGACAGCTGCATCTGGTGCAGGCCTCGGGCTGCTTCTACTCATGGCAGAAAGCGGCAGGCAGCCAGTAGGTGCAAGATCACATGGCGAGAGGAAGAAAAAGAGACAGAGAGAGAGAGAGAAGGGTTAACAACCAGCTCTCGCAGGAACTAATAGAGCGAGAACTCACTCACTACCCCCACTCCCCAGGGAGAGCATTAATCCATTCATGAGGGATCCACCCCCATGACTCAAACAGCTTCCAGCACTGCCACATTGGGGATCAGATTTCCACATGAGTTCTGGGAGGACAATACATCCAAACTCCATCACAGAGCATTCTGTTCTCAACGAGGCCTTACCTCAGGAGAAACTGTTTTACCAGAGGCTACTACTGGAGTTTTATCAGAGCCTATCCTATCTGGGAGAAGGGAAATACCCAACTTCAGCTCTCTCTAGCCATCCTGTCTCACCAAAGGGGGAAAACAAGTGAGAAGAACTCACCCGTGAAGTTCACAGTCCAGGGACACAGGCTCACCAAAAGACTGAGACCTAATCATAGAACTGCAGCGCACTTCTCCTGCTCCCACACCTTACCACTACACAACTAAGGACCTTTTTACTGCGGTTCCTTTTCCCCAGGAAAATGTCCATCTTTCAACAAAAATATTACATCATGTCCACTTTTCAACAAAAATATTACAAGGCAAAATAAAAGGCCAGAAACACAGGTTGAAGAGACTGAACGAGCATCAGAACCAGTCAGATATGGCAGGAATGTTGGAATTATCAGGCAAGTAATTTTTTAAAACTATGATTAATATGCTAAGGGCTTTAATGGAAATAGTAGACTACATGCAAGAACAGATAGGTGATACAAGCAGAGAGATAGAGACTCTAAGAAAAAATCAAGAAGAAACACTACAGATCAAATACACTATTAACAGGAATGAAGAATTCATTACGGGCCGGCCCGGTGGCGCACTGCTACAGTGCGCCGCTTGGGAGCGTGGCAGCGCTCCTGCCGAGGGTTCGGATCCCACATACAGACCGGTTCCCGCTCACTGGTTGAGCAAGGTGTGGGCACGACACTGAGGGTTGCGATCCGTTGCCGGACACAAAAAAAGACAAAAAGGAAAAAAA